AGGTATGAGAAGGCAAACACACCAATAGCTTCCAATAGCATTGGAGGGAGGGGAGTATGTTGTTGGCAGTGGGTGTGAGGGGAAGGAGAGGAGCTTGATGGAATTGATTGCACCAGGCTTGAGCAGTGAGGTGTGGAGGCTGGTATGTGTAGGATGGTAGACTGGAGGGTGACACAGCATGACATTGAATGTCAGGATGAAGGTCTGGGGGGATGAAATCACAAGGGAGAGGGAACTTGATGGAGTAGGATTGAGACCAGTAAGCAGTGTACTGGACATAGATGGCAAGTAATCAATAGTATTTGGGGCTTACAGAGGTCAACAGGACCAGACTAGGTAACAGAAATTCCATCTGTGAAGGATGTCAGGAGGTGGATTGTCTTGGAATGTAGGGGAAGAAGGATACCCAATAATATGCGAGGAGTTTGAGGAACCATTTGGCAGGGTGGAGTTGGCAGATATCCTGGGCAGGTCAAACTGACATATACTGGTCAAGGTGTGTACTGAATACAGCCTCTTGTGAAGCTCAGGTCACTTGGACTCTGTCCATTGGGTCTGGGAAAAGGGTGTACTGCATGCATGCAACAATAGATGAGGGTACAGGTTGCCACCAGTGAGCTGGGAAATCACCATGGATGAGTGCAAGCAAGTGATTGGGAAGACTGTGGAAATTAAAGGAATAATCCTGCCCTGTGAGGAAATGCCAATCAACAAATAATTTGTGATCTGCAATGAAGGCCATTTTGAGCACAGGGGATATTTTAAGTCCATGATGGATGAAGGCTTCAATAATCCAAGACTGAAGGGAGTAAGCTTGTGTGAGCAAGGCTGATATTGGGGAGACAAGACATACCCATGTACAAGTTAAATTGAGCATAGCTTGGGAGGTGAGGGCATCAGGTGGGGAAGAGAAATAGGAGGGATGGATGAAGGATGTAAGAAGGGTTAAGGAGAAATCAGAAAGGGCAATGATTAGGCACTCAGCATTGCTGAGGACGATTTGGCATATGACATCAGTATCATCATTGAATGCGACAGAGTTGTCCAAGGCAATACCCTGGCCTAGTCAACTTTGAGAAGGATTCTGAGGGGAATGGGTATCCAATCCATACTTTGCCCAAATGTGAGGGGAAAAGTAGTAAGGGGCAATGGGTATTTGGGTGCCTGGGGGAGGTGAGGTAGTCAGGGACTGATTTAAGCAGTGGGTGCAATAAGAGAGCCAAGCTTCAAGATGTGGACAGAAGTATTGATATGAACAATGGAGGGAATCAAGACAATCGAAGGCAGCACCCTGTAAAGATATGGAGGGCATTAGAAGGAAATTGATAAGGTGATGACTGGGATGTACAAATATGGTGCCCCATTGCTGCAGGTATGCCCACCCTTCTTCTTGTTGTGAAGGATCTGGCACGGAGTGAAGGAAGTGTTGAGGATCCATGAGGAGTGTCTGAAGATCATGATGAACAATGTATTTTGGAAGGGTGGGCTGGGGATGGGTGGATAAAGGTATGGGTTGGACCATGGCAGTTGGAGTGTCATGTTTAATCATGGGAGATGCAATAAAGTGGTGGGGCAGAGTTTAGAGGGAAAGAAGCTGAACGTTCAAGAAGAATAATGGGGCAGAATGATGAATGTGGAATTACTGTTTACAAAGGATTAGAAAGAAGATTGTGTGATAGGTACTACAAGTATTCTTGGGTTGAACAGAGGAAAGTTGAATGACAACTATGGTTAGGTGGCCTCAGAAGAGGTGATTGCAGGGTGCTGTATCTTGTCATTTTTGACAAGGGGTTCAGGAAAGGAGATGAATAGATACCTTTTTGGCACATTTTTGGTGGAGGTTCAACCTATGGTGCTCTTTGGCAAGAGCATGGCATTGAGAGTATTGTGGATCATTTTGCTCTCACCACAACTTGACGAGGGAGTCCCAAACAGTATCATGGAATACTTGTTCTAGCATAGACACAGTGATGGTGTGACAATCAGGAGGGCTGGGTAAGTTGGCAGAAATCTCAGACTAGTAACGGTGATGAGCTGTGGTAGTAAATGGCAAGAGTGAAAGAATGCTGCATACTTGCAAGACAGCCAAAGTAATGCTGACCAGTTTATCATGATAACAAAGATTGGGTGGGCTTCTTGGAGGGGATGTGCAGTCAGGAATGACAATATGAGTAGGGTATTCATCTGGTGAGGAGAAATGGAAGGGGGGAATATGGCCATGGTTTGGAACACCCATAAGTGAAAACTTGCACACTTGCATGATTTTCTAGAGGAATAGTAGGAGGAGACAGGTGCTTGCATGAAATGTGGCATACCAGGCAATGATGTCTAAGGGGACCACACAAGATGCAATGGGTGATTGAGTGGGGGTTGTGAAGAATGTACAGATGGTCATTGATTGCGTGAATGAGATGGTTGAGAGTGAAGATGTTGGGGAGCAGATGGGAAAGGTGAGGGGTGATGGCTAGGAAGAGAGGTGAGGTAAGGAGAGGGATGGGGGATGGGGGATGGGGGAGGACAGTGACTGTACTGTGGATATGGCAATTTGGGGTGGGTAGGAGGAGTGAAAGAAGTGCAAATAGGTGTGGGGGTGGAAACAGGAGATTGGGGATGATGGTGTTGTGGTTTGAACATGGTGGTAAGGAAATGTAGAGGTCAAGTGAGGGAGGGTTATAGGGAGAGAAAAGGATATGTGATAGCCAGGTTTGGTAAATTGGCTTCTGGTGGAGGCTAAAGGGGGATGGGACACATGAAGAGTGCAACAACACGTCATGTCTTTCAAGCATTCCAGTGTTTGAATTTCCTGAAACAGCATAATTTGATGGGGTCATTTGCTACATTATGATGCAAGTATTTCCGACTGAGATCCTGGGGGTGATTGCCAAAGAAGCAGATCAATCCGGGGCAATTGAAACAATCAAAACAGTGAAGGCAATGTCAATGACATGCTATGCCCTCTTCAGTGTGACTCAAAGACTTGTATATTGGAGGCCATCATTATAGATGGAACGCAATGGAAGAGGATCTGGACCACACTTTTTAAAGCTTCTGAAGCTGCTGGAGAGATCTGAGGCTGGTCTGAGATTGTGGTATATGCCCTTCATTTGAGTAATTGTGGTTCCCTCAATGGGTAGCTTGGCATGTCAGCCTGCAATTAGGAGATTGCTGGGCCAGGTTCTGCCAAGGATTGCAAATATAACTTTGTTGGGAATTGAAAGCAAGCTTTCACTGTGGCTTATCCCTGGCTTTACAAAGCTTGGGTTGGGTTGCTGGCTGAAGGTAGAAATTGTCTGCTCCTCTGTGCCTTTCTTGGCTGGCATGATGACAAAGCGCAGAATTCTTGGAGCAGTTGCCCAGACAGAGGTGAACAGTCCCAAACTGGCGAGAGAGATTGGGGGTGTTCTTAACAACTTGTCAAGCTACAGTTTTTGACAGTAGAAGAGTTCCTGACACTGGGGGGATTAATGTTGAAGGGGGGTGGGGGATATCCATAAGCCTCCATCTGGAATTTACAGGATTTTCATTGCAGGTAATGTGATTGTTCCAATGAGGCATTGGGTATGTAAGATGAATTTTGTCAGAACCATGAAGAGCTGACTACATGGGAAACGGCCAAGTTGTTTGCTCATTTGAAAGCACTACACTTTCTTTCATTGACTCTATGGATGATGGAGGGGGAGCACCAAGGAGACCAGGGGAAGTAGTGTTTTGCTCTACAAGATAATATGCTGCATCTTTCTCACGTTTCATTTGTAAATCAGTTGATGGGGAAAAAAAATGGAATATATGTACAGTAGTGGCCAAAGGTAAAGCTGCACTCTGATTTTGAGGGTCCTTGGCATTTCCCTCTGTAAATCCTGCACAGAGATAATGCATAGTAACTTGTAGCTTGTTCCACAAAATTTTGGACTCAAGACAATTGTCAAGTCAGTATGAGACAAATTTCCAACATTGTTGGTGTTACTTACAGCAAAGACCAAGAGCATTGACTTCTTGTTTACCAGAGCAAACAGTGCTGTGATCAAGGCAGTTTTGCACAAATTGCCTCCGAATCAATACAATTGCCCCTTGGCAGCACTTTCTTGCTTGGTTGATCACACAAGATTTCATAGCATAAGCATCAATGTTTAAGGGCTTAAGTTACACCGAGGATGCAACAGAACATGTCAGTGACTGCTTTGCATAAAGTTCCAGTCCAAAGTATGGCAGATTTAAGTGCTCTTTACATGACATTATCTCTGTATGGGATTTACATAGGAAAACAATAGGGACCCTCAAAATTGGAGTGTGGCTTTACTTTTGGCCACCACTGTATGATGTGATGCTGGATCCAGAAGATTGTGAATTGGTGGAGGGATGGACATGCACAGTCTACTAAAGGGAGTTGAAATGGGAAAGAGAAGTATGATGGAGATTTATGCATCAGTGAATGATGAATAGTCTGCTTACATGGATGATTGGCAGAAAGTCAGGAAGATGGTGAATATGAAAACAGCTTGCCTGCAGGGCCAAGAGAGTTCCCAATGACATTGCCAGGACAAAGGAGGAAGGAGTAATGTAGTGTTGAGAGTAGAGAAAAGAGGATGGTATATGATGTGACGAGTATGGAGTATGGATGGGTGTAATATTAAGTTGTATGAATCCCTCTGACTTTGCATATGGATCCCTCTGACTTTGAGTATGGATCCCTCCAACTTTGGGTATGGATCCCTGCAACTTTGGGATGAGAGGGGAGGGGAATTTGGGGTCTGGGGGAAGGAGGCATAATTATGTGCTTAATGCAGGCAGTGTGGATAAGGATAAAAGTGGAAAAAGGTAGGGTTCCGGGGCTTGGGTATGGGTCTGGGGAGGAAGGGAAGGGTCTGGAGGGCTGGTGATAGGTCGCGCGGCAAGGGTCAGGGAGCTGTCCGCCATAGACTTTCCTTCACCAACTTTAGTCTTGCTTGTTTGTGCACATGCTGGACTCGGATGACTGTTTTATTCACCTTGGCGGTGCCGACAAAAGCCGACCTGCATATAAGCAGGCGCAGTAAACGGTGTACTTGAGCAGGAATCGGCTGACCAGGTGCATCCCATTTGCTTTCGCTTTTGCTTTGCACTGGCTTATTACGCTGGCAGTCCTCTTATCGCAGCACCCAGAAGCAGGACCGTCCAACTATCACACCATGGAACAACCGCGGGCATCGATAGAGGCTACAGATCAGGAGGCTTACGACCGCAAGATAGCCAGTGAGACCAACTCCATCGAGGAATTCACGCAGGAGGGTGTCATCAAGGCAGAGAAAGCCAGAGCAGTAAGACGGGCATGATTTTACCAGAAAGAAAGCCTCTGATCTGTGACAGGTATGGGGCTTGCGAGGCAGCATTGCACTCTGGATCGGTGTTGGGTTATCTAGGTAAGCGAAGTAGACACAACCACCGGGCATGGCCTGACAAATCCATATTCAGCTTCATGTACACTCTTGATGTAAGCCATCTGTGAATAATTCCCTCAATCAAATCTGATGTTTTGATAGAACGGAACAAACTATCAATGTACGGCATGCGTGTTCTCCAGTTGTCTTCTGATTCCTCATTCTTCACAGGGGGCTCCTACGCAACAACACAGTTCAACAACTACCCGGCATACGCAGCAATCCAATGTGCATCTTCGATCCTCCTCGCTCTCGGCAAGCCCCTCTTCGCCAAGATCATGGACTCTCTCGGACGTGCCGAAGCGTACTGCTTCTCGCTCTTCTTCTACCTTCTCGGGTACATCATCGCCGCCGCCTCGCCGGACATCACCGCTCTCGGAGCCGGTCTCGTCATCTGGGTGATCGGCTTCTCCGGACTGCAGATCGCCAACCAGATCATCATCGCAGATTTTACGACGTTGCGCTGGCGCGGACTGGTGCAGAGCTTGACAAGCGCATGGTACTTCATCCTTTTCTGGGCCAATGGTAAAATCACCCAGCAGCTAGTGGCTCCCGGCGGACCAGGTTGGCGCTGGGGATACGGCATCTATGCCTTATGCTATATCCCCGCACTGGGCCCCATCATCCTCACACTCCTCTGGGGCCAGTACAGGGCCAAGAAACTGGGGTTGGTCGAGCAGCCTAGGGCGGCGGCTCAGCGCAGGAGCCGGCTGTCGGGTGCGTGGAAGTGGATTCAGGAGAGCGATCTTATCGGCTTGTTCTGGCTGGGCGCCAGCATCACGCTTATCTTCTTGCCTCTTGTGCTGGCCGGTGGCTCGTACGCTAGTACGTCTCAGTATTGTCGACTTGGAATGATGGTCTAATGTCCGCACCTAGCCTTGAGCTGGCAGAGCCCCACCATCCCGGCGATGATGGTGATCGGAGGGGCAGTCGCTCTCCCAATCTTCATCTACTGGGAGCTGAAGGTCCGTCTGTCCTTCCTTTGCTGACTCGGCTCACACCGCAGCAGCGTGCCCTCTTTCCCATCATCCCCTTCCGTCTCCTGAAGAACCGGACCGTGCTCGCCGCCTGCCTGATTAGTTTCTTCGACTTCATCTCGTTCTACTTGACGTACGCACAGCTCTACGGCTTCGTAGCAGCGACGACGAACTGGAGCTTGTCTGACATTACGTATTATACGAACTGTCAGAGCCTGTGTTTGACTTGTGCGTCCCTGAGTCCGTACCTTCCGTGTTATCGTCTGAACTCCGTGCTCTTCCCGTGGACAGTCTTCGCCCTCCTCTGGGGGGCAGTGGCCATCGTCCTCAAGTTCCGGTATAAATGGACCCTCACAGCCGCGCTCTGTGTGCGCTTAATCGGCATAGGACTGATGTTCTACGCAAGGGAGCACAATAGCACTGCGGCACTGGTGATGACCCAGGTTATCCAGGGTGCCGGGGGTGGGGTAGCGGCTATTGCGAGCCAGGTCGGCAGCCAGGGAGCCGTTCCGCACCAGGGTGGGTTTGGCCCCCCTCCATCTAGCTGAGTAAGCACATGCTGAGAGGATTTGTTTGGTAGATGTGGCAGTAGCGACTGCCGTGGTGCTCCTTTCTGCTGAGCTGGGAAATGTGGTAGGCAGCGCTGCGGCAGGAGCCATCTGGCGTTCTGCCCTCCCCGAGCAACTGACCAACGCCCTCGCCGATGTTGGGTTCACTAATACGACATACATAACCATGCAAGTCGGAAATCCTTTGCTGGCGCAAACAAGTTTCCCCGACTTGAGCGATCCGATCCGGGAGGCCATCCGTGCGTTCTTCCATTCCTTTGTCAGTGATGAGATGCTGACAAGGCTGTAGATTCCGGATACTCGTCAACCATGCGGCTCATGCTTATCCCAGCGATCGTTCTTTCTGTCATTCCCATCATAGCCTCAGTGTTCATGCGAGACTTCCACCTCGTCGACCTGCAGAACGTGGTGGAGGCCAAGGACCTGCAAGGGAACAAGGTTGCCGGCGGAGATCTGGAGACGATTGAGAGCGGTAAAGTGTAAGAGCCTGGATAATCAGCTACTGTTTTTGGAATAGGTAAATCTGCCAGAAAAGCCCTTTAATGAACGAACAAACGAATGAACCCTTGCTTCGACATATGATCAGAGGAGGAACGCGGATACCACGTTCTGTGCCAGTGCCGAAGTAGTGCAGTATCCGCCCGATCCACCCCACCCATCCTGTTAGGGGCCAGCATGCGGAGCCAAGGTGACATGCTGGGTAGCAGCGGCCTTGACATCATCTCCGATCCGACGATCGTTGTTGGTTAGAGGTCGTCATGACAAGAGACAAGATGTGTACATTGCCCGACTGGTAGAATGCGGAAGTCGCTAGCCTTATGGAGCTGCACTCGCACAGGCGTGCTGACATGTGAAGTGCAGATTGACTTGCAGCGATATTACTTTGCCAGCAGGAACATGAGTGTGCCCATATTAAGTAGGTATACATGCTTATACCACGCGGAGAAGCACGAGAATAGAATGAAAGAATAGATCAACCCTTGATGGTTACTTCGGTTAATGATGAACGGATTGTGGTAGCTGGAGGGCGCACACGAGGTAGAGTTGGGGTTTTGACCCTGAACAATACGGCGTCTATGTGAACCTGGGCACGTTGCAAGCCACCGACACCGGCCCGTCCAACAGGCAGCGCTCCTCATCCCCCTCACAGCAGTTATATTCCCCCCTTGTACTGCTTGGCGCTCCTTCCCCCTCTCCCCCTCTCCCACAGACTGCGCACTCGACTGACATCCACAGGCTCGGGCGACGTCTACCTTCCTCGACAAGCACTACAAACAAGGCAGCGTCAAGCGCACTCTTCACCTCTACCTTCTTCTCAGGGCGGCACCACAGCATTACCCGAGTTGACCTCGACATTTTTCAACTTTCACACCTTCTTTTCTTGAGCACTCTCTTTGCACCGGCTGCACTAGCACTGCTACTGGCAACTGCACTGCACCAGGAGGACGCAGGTCGGCTAGCTGGTTCTAGCCTTGTACAACTCTTCACAAACTTTCACGCTTGATACTTCACTCAATCGCACATTCACTGTACATACGATCCCCCATTCTCAGCATGCGACTTCAAGCACTCGCCCCGCTCCTACTGCTATCGACAGCTTGCGCCCTCCCTAGGCTGCCAAGCTCACTCAGCTCAATTCGCTCGCATCTCCTAGCACCCTTCTCCTTCTCATCCTCCGAAATTGCCGTACCCGCCTTTCCCCAAGCTCCGTCAGCCATCCTTGACCCCCATCCGCGACTCCTAGTCTCGCCCCCGCTCGCCTCCAACCCCCACGGATCAAAGCTCAAACGCCGTCTGCGAAGACGCGTTGCTTCCGGGCATGCGCAATGCACGCTCTCCGGACCCACAGGTTCGACGCACAACCACGGGTCCGGTGGGGGTGGGGGTGGAACTGGGGGTGGAACTGGGACCGGGGGTGGGACCGGGGGGAGCAGTACGCCCAGCTCCGGTGGTGGGAGAGGAAGCAGCACGTCCGCTAGTCCCTCCCAACCATCTTCTTCCCCCGCCCCGGCAAGCCCGACAATAACAGTCAACTCGACCGTTTCCTGCTCCGGCCCAGACCCGAGCATGCAAGTGTCCGTCTCTGGAGGTCCGAACGGCCTTGAGAGCTGGATGAACTGTGGCATCTCCTCCAAGTCAGGGTGGAACCCTCCGTACGTGACGATGGACGACGTCGTTACCGTGGACCTAAGCACGGCGCTGAGCACTGTCGGGACGCCATTTGCGGCTTGTCAGAGCTTTGTCGGGTATTTCGAGAGCGCGGGGCAGCAGTATGGCAGTACGTCCAACTTTCTCTCGATTTCAGTTCTGCACCTGACCCTTTGTTTGACCTGTAGTACCACCAATCATACTCGCCTCCATCGCCCTGCAAGAATCATCCTGCGACGCCTCGTCCATGGGTGCAGGCGGGACGACCGGGCTGATGCAGATCTCGCAAGACAAATGCGGTGGTGCGCCCGGAGGGAACTGCCTCGATCCGGAATTCAACATCGCTGCCGGCGCGCGTTATCTAGCGGACACGGTCCAGCAGACCGGGGGCAACTTCCTGCTTGCGTTGGGATATTATGTGCGTCTTTTTTTTTCAGCAATTGGGAAGGGAGGCTGATGCGAAACGTATAGAATGGATGGTATATCGGCATGACCGTGGATGCGGTGCTAGCCGTAGGGCAGGGCTCGTGCTGCGGATGTATGCAGAACCTCGACTAGTGCGTCTTCCCCTGCCCACCAAAAATTACGCTCACAACCTTCCTGCAGCCTGCAACAAAGCCTGAACGGCTGGTTTGTCGGTGAGGATGCATATGCGATCGGTTTAGGTAGTTGGCAGAATCTTGCAGTCTGTCAGTGATGAACTGACGGCTTGTATGAGCGGTGTTTGCATGTTTATGTTTGTTTTGGGTGTAGTATAGGCGCATGTATATAGGTATTCTGTAAGGCGTAGTTTTACCTCTCTGAGCAATGATATTCTTATGACAGCTTGCTGTGCTTTCGGACAGGTGATGCCGGGGCGAATTTGTAGGGCGCAGCTAGCGTGAGCGTCGTTACGCAGCTTGCCTCGCGGGCACTCAAAGATGCGCGTCCAGGAAAGAAGTAGATTGGAGACGGACAGAGCCTAACAGTATGCCAACGGAAGACAAGAGAGCGGGACGCGCACCGTGCGGGAGCGGGAGAGGGGAAATAGGAAATACGTGGGATAAGAGGAGATGGGATAATGACAAAGAGACGATTTCATCAGAGAGTACGTTGACCGACCGAAGAGAAGACACGGCACTCCCTCCGATCCCGTCGGCAGGATGCACGCCCTCGCGCCCGTTCTAAGCATAGTAGTCGAGAGAAACCGCCCGCCGGGCATACATACAGCAGAGAAACGTCTAGCGTTCAGCAGCATGAGTTGGAGGTCTGCTGGCCGACGGCCTGCCCCTGCCCAACCTTGACACCGCCCTTTGACGCGCCGCCCGCCGGGGTTGATGTAGATCCCATGCGGTCCTTGATCTGCTTTGCCATGGTCAAGAAGGCCTGCTCGACGTTGGTCGCGTTCTTGGCGGACGTCTCGAGGAAGGGGATCCCGAGTTGGTCGGCGAACTCCTGAGCGCAGGGTATGAGAGGGAAACATCAAAGACGAGACGAAACGAACCTTCGCTACCGTGTACTCGACGACCTTCTTGTTTGTCAGATCGGACTTGTTTCCCACGAGCAGCTTGTTCACGCCCTCGGATGCGAAGCGGTCAATCTCCTGCAGCCACTGCTTGACGTTGGTGAAGGTGTCTGGAAGCGCTCATAAATAACAGCGACTGGTGATAAGGGTCTACGTACCATTATCTGTTACATCGTAGACGACGATGATACCGTGCGCGCCCCGGTAGTACGAGGCGGTGATCGTGCGGAAACGCTCCTGACCTGAGGGGTGTGTCAGACCGAAGTCATCATTTACGTGCAATATGGCGCGAACCTGCTGTATCCCACTACAGACGATAATAAACCGAGAGTCAGCAATGCTTCATTTGCGGAAAGAGAGCAATAGATAATTAAATGATCGGAGACACGTCACGAGACATGCTCTTCTGCCTCACAGCGAATAGGGAAAGGAATAAGGAGACGCACGATCTGGAGCTTGACAGTCTTGCCCTCGAGTTCAATAGTCCTGATCTTGAAGTCGACACCAATGGTAGAGATGTAGCTCTCGGTGTAGGTATCATCCGCAAACCGTAGGAGCAGGCAGGACTTGCCAACACCAGAGTCGCCGATGAGAAGAAGCTTGAAGAGATAGTCGTACTCGGATGCGTGCATGGTTTCAGGTTACTATTTGGGGACAAAGCAAGGATATAAGCAAGCTACACTGATAGTCGTGTAGGTCTGACTGACGAGTAGAGTGGAGTTGGTAGAGTTGCAAGAGAGTAAGAGGAGTGAATAAGAAAAGTAGACGCTGGCTTGAATGGTGGAGAGTGTCGGTGCACTGGTTGTAGTACGGGAGGATAAGGCACTCTGCCCACACTTGCGATGATGCACTGCATCCGCCGTCCCACGCGGTCTTGTGAGTGGCGATTTAATTTGATCCCGCAAAGAATGACACCACGTGCACACCACCCACCTCGGCGCGTCCTGCTCATCGCCCCTCACCTCGTCCACGACGTCCGCTGCATACAGCCAGCTACCTATCTCGATATTTAACGCATGAAGCTCACTCACCACGTGTTCCGTTCTCATTAAATGTATGTATTCACACTTGCAATCCGAATCGCATGCAACCACTGGTTCTTCTTTAACGGCGACTAGTGCTATTAACTGCACACACAATAGCCAGTGTCAATACTACATCAACCGCGTACACAAAATCACCACGCTGTCAGCACCACATCAACCGTGTACCCAGGTGCCGCGGTGTCACTCCTATATCAGCCGCATACACAACCGTCACGGTGTCAGGGCGCAACCACGAGGGCCTTGCTACTCTCACAGGCCAGTGAAAACCGCATAAAAGGCGTCTCATGGGCCATGCTGAACCTCTGTGGTACTGTTCCTCTCCCCGCATATCCTGCATCGTTGGACGCGCCTCGATGCCTCCTCCTGCCGCCACGATATATGCGCTTCCAACTGAGCTCATTGGGGTGATCATCAAAGCCTGGCACATACTCGACCCATGCGCACCAGAAATAGCAATACAGATCTGTCGCTCTTGGCGCTCCATCGCACTCTCCATGACGGCACTTTGGCGAGTCCTGACTCTGACGACTCAAAAATCATCCTTGGTAAAGGTGCCCCTCTGGAACAAGCGATCTTGCGGACATGTCGAGCACTTGAGACTCATGTCAACTGTTGTCCCGAAGGGCCTTTCTGCGCTCGGAACCGCTTTGGATGATCTTAACTTAGGAGAGATCTCGACGCTGGAATGTAATCTCATAGAATGGGTTCGGCACGACGTCTTCAAACGGATAACTCGGCTCCAACGGTTTCGGGTTGCAACGATTGGCTACGCCGTGCATCTATGGTGGGACATCGTCTCCGCAATGGAAAATCTCCGCATGCTGGATCTTGTAAACGCATATCCGCAAGATGATCGAGCATTACATTTGCCGAATTTACGCGTCGTACGCTTTCAGTCTCCAGAAGGGGCATATCTCATCCGCTTCCTCCTCAAAACATGTGCCGGAATCCCTCTTGAAGAAGCGACGCTCTCTCTCAAACATAGCCGCGACAAGGCCATCACTCAACCCAGCGATCGGGACCTCGCCAACATGGGCAGTTCGCGAGTCGACTACAGCCATCTACGCTATCTTCGGCTCTCCGGTACGATGGACTGGCATCTGCTCACAGCACGTTTGTTCCTCCCCGAGCTTCACACACTCATCATGGATCACTTTCCAAGTCCGTCACTAACGGCATGCTTCGGCGATATCCGCCCACTCGACGCCCGTGTCCGATCTCTTACCGTTCACACACAGGACCATCTCGCCATCGAAGAAGGCCTGAGCATCCTCATCCAACTCGAGGGTGTCCCAACCCTACAACACCTCCGAATATGCGGCTATCTCTCCGATACCTTCCTCGACGGACTTAGTGATGGATGTCAGCCACATCTGGTGCATATCGACCTTTCAGGATGCGAAGGCGTCTCTCCTGCGGCAGTCGTGCGCCTCGCAGTTGGGAAGATCGAGAACGGAAACCCCCTTCGGCGAATAACGCTCAATGGCTGTCAATGGGTGACAGAAGATCTCGTGTCGGTACTGAAGGATATGGGTCTCGTGGTCGACTTCGAGCATGGAATCGTGCCCCTCGTTCCCCAAGGCTGGAGACACTGGACATTTGTCAACACCTAATCCCTGCATTTTTTTTCTTCACACTACCAGAAGGCCAAGAACAATCATGTCTTCTTCACGCTTTTTGGTATGCATGTTTATGCCCTTCTATTTATACCATGGAGTTCCGAGACGAATAGTTGTTTGCTGTACAACCTTGTTCTCATTACACATGATGCTCAGAATTGATGATGGCAAAGCTGATTTGGGCGGAGGCCCTCTAATCCGATAAATGAACAATGATATTGTGCTGCACATCCGAATTTCGAGTTCGAATTCGACATTCGAACGACGCTCCGAACGACATGCCGGACTATTGGAAGGAAGATCAGACCCTATACACACCCTTAGGTGATATAGATTAGGAATAGATTAGGTAGTTAGTCCGAAAGTCCGAACCGCTCTGAACGTATACAGGAGGATTCGAGTACTTCGGATAGGGATGCTCCTTCGACTCTAGTTATCTCCTACACTTACCTTATACTTGTGTACTCTACACCTCCCAATGAGGCGTCAGGGGTAGGTCCGCTGGAGGGGGAGTCGACAGTAGTGGCCCGTTCCTAAGTAGCAGTAGCTCTAACTTCCACTAGTGGCCGAATTGAGGATTGGCTCCTAAGAGAGAGACGTCCGAAGCTCGGTTCGAGGATTCGATGTTCGTTCCAAGCCCCTAGCCAGAATGTAGTCACTTGTCTTCCCTAAGCGCAAGCCGTCCGACCGGAATCCGGAGAGGAGAGGCAAAGACAAGATCTCGGAACGGTACGACTGAGTGTGGCTAGTCCGGATTGAGGATTCGAATCGGAGATCGAAACGAGAGAAGAAGGGGGTAGAGTAAAGAGTGACTGTAAAGTGGAGGAGTAGTATTAGTTGTAAGTTAGAGATCACTCGAGTTTGAACGAGTGAGAGCAAGCAAGAGAGAAGGAGTGTCAGTTCGAGCGTCCCTATCCGAAGTACCCGAATCCTTCTATATACGTTCGGAGCGGTTCGGACCTTCGGGCTACTACCTAATCTATACCTAATCTATATTACCTAAGGCTATGTCTAGGGTCCACTTCTTCCTTGCAATAGTCCAGTCCGGCCGAGTTCGACATGTCGTTCGACGAGCCGTTCGAAGGTCAGATCCGAACCCGAAATTCGAATGTGCAGCACACTTGACACTACACCTCTACACTACATTCAATCATTACTCTACCCTCTGATTTTATTATTCCGACTATCCATCCGAATCTTCGAATCGCGCCCCGCAACACTCGTTACTAGCCTTTCGAGTCCTCTGGGCAACGCTTCACTTCGGACTCTCGTCGGATTGCTTGCGCATCAGCAGGCATTGGCCACTCTCGTGCCTGGGGCTTAGAAACGCACGTCGAACCCTCGAATCAGTCTTCCGATCTCCTGCTCTTTCGAAACTAGCGTCCCTTCAGCAGATATTGTAACTGGATTCACCACTACCTAGGCTCGAGCTACCATTGTCGACTTCCCCTCCAGCGGACTTACACCTGACGCCTCATTGGGAGGTATAGAGTGCAATATTCTTATCTTCCACGCGTCTGTTCGTAGCATCCTCTGAAGCCTTCTGGCTATTCCTTGACCTCTGTCACGGTGTGCCCATTGTCGCTGTCTGCCTCCACCACATGCATACCCGTACCGACAAGGTCGCTCGCCTTTTGCAGCATGCGATGCTCTACGTTGACACGAGGGCCCTTGAACCATTTACTGGAAATTCGGTCAGTTCGCTACCAGAGAAGGAGGAGGACGTACTGAGCATCCAAGACCCACCAGGTCATGGCAAGCAACATCGGTCCGCCCCAGACGAGGCACGTGTAGTTCATCGTCTGAGCGCTCAAGTCGGGACCATTCACGGTAGGCAAGCAGAGGATGGGCATCATAAGTAGTGTGAAAGACGTTGCGATACAACCGCTAGCAAAGCTGTAGCGGCCGAGAGACCATGGGCCAGGGCGGAACCGGTTACCAACCACGAACGTACGGAGCGTGACGGGTAGCGTGAATGCGACATAGGCACCGATGGCGCCGATAGAGAAGATGGCTCCAATTGCAAGCGGGCCGGCGAAGATAAGTAGCATGAGAAGTATGCCGATTGTGGTGTTCATCCAGACGGCATTGACGGGTGTGAGGGTGTATGGGTTCACCTTGCTCCAGATTTGCTTCGATAGTGGGAAGACACCATCACGAGCGTAAGCATAGGTTACGCGGGAAGCGGCAACCATGCATCCTTGGCCCCTAAAGCATCTGTCAGCATCAACAATCCTTCTTTTATTTCATCAACACACATCATGAAGCTGCAAACAATAGTCAAGGCCGTCACTGCCAAAGCGGCCTCGACAGTCAGCACCTGTAAGCAGTACGCCACGAAGGGCTGTCCAAGAGGAGAGGAAATCACTGCCCCAATATCGGTAACCGTGTAGGCGATGACCAAGTTGACGGCGAAACCAAGCACACCACCGACTTCGGCAGTCAGTACAATTGCCCGTGGGGAAGCGATGGCCGCGTTCGAGCACTCCTCGCTAAGATGGAAGGGCGCATCGTAGCCCGACATCGTCCATATCACACTGATGAAGCTCATGAGCACGGCGATTCCATTGGGCCACTCGGTGCCGTTGGTGATCGTTCCCCACACATCCGCAGAGTTGTTGAATCGTGGGTTCAAGTTCGTCGTTGCTGCCGGGATGAGGATGACAACGATAACGAGGATAAACATATTCAACCATGTGGACACGCTATTGAAGTGGGCGACATACTTTGTCGGCATGGAGGAGATACACGCGTGGATGAGCAATATGAGCACAGTGAGCAAGAAGGTGTGCCAGGCCTGCGGGACAAAGTCCGGGTGCAAGACTGATGCGGTCGCGAGGATCATCTGCGCACAACCGTAGTCGACACTAGGCGCTCCAGTCACTTGGCCAATCCAATTTGACCACCCAGTGATCCAGGAGCAGAGAGGCCCCCAGCCATCGGGTGCAAGTACGGCAGCAGCGTAATACAGGCCACCGGATGCTGTGCAGAGATGAGCTCGTAAGCGGACGATGCGAGCAATGAAAGCTTACTGGGCATCGAAGACGCCAGTTCGGCCATGCTTTGAGCTACGCACTGGATGCCACACATGGCAACGATCCAGCCTATTCTTTCTGTCAGCGAGCTGTAGGCTGTCGGCTGATACTCTTACCCCAAGTCATGCCAGCTGTACCGGCATAGCCTAACCCATACCAGAGAGTGGTCGCAATTGACGGCAGGAGGCCAAGAACAGAGAACGAGACTCCAAAAGACGTCCAGACAGAGAACTCGCGCCTGCAAAAACACTGTTAATCGTTCGGTTGAAGCTTTCTATTGAATGTTCTCAATACCTAAATTCCTGCTTGTATCTGTGATGAAAATTAGCAGATGGAAGTCCTATAGAACTGCCACTCACCCAAGGGCGACCAGGCGGGCTTCATCGTCGGTCATATCATGGTCCTCGACGATACCAAATTCGCCAGGTTGGAAGATGCTGGTCACTTGCTGAGCTGCGGCCTTCTCAACATCGATGTTGTGAGCCTCAATTTCTTCTTTGGTTTCGACGCCCATTTTTTGGGAGTGGTCTTCTTCAGCGGCTCTCTGAGAGATACAACAAGCCAGGCACGGTCGCTTAAGAGGAGAAGACGCCCTTATGTCCAGACGATAAGGAGCTCGAGGACGGTGTCCAGCCCGTAGTTCCTCATACGATCGGGACCAGATCTGCATGGTCATATCGCTCCAAACTCCACAGCCAATAATAGCGCCATGATAGCTGGCTTTCTCTTAGGAGAATTGGTTGTTCTGCGGTCTTCGCACAGACGTCAGTCGCATGCCTAACCCTGTGTTAGGGTCCTTCTGGGCGATAAGCAATGGTTGAATGAACATGCAGGCTCTGTCACGGAGGCAGTGTAGTACCGGTTATCATCCTGATAGTCGTCAGCCTTCTTTCTCTTCTCTCTTACCTAAAAAACGTTGCCAACTGGTGACAGTAATGATGCCAAGACTTCTCATTCCTTCTAGGAGGAACAAAGTGATTCCAAACATGAGCGCTCGAAGTGTCAACAGACAAAAGAATGAAAACCCTTTGTTCACCCCACCATTCTTTCTAAGCTGCTGCACATTCCCCTTGTTCATGTCAACAAAAGCCCATATTTATTCCGTATCAATTCCAGCCCAGTCTAAACAGCTAAATTAACCTAGTTCCTATTCCACAGCCTCGGCCAAATCCGCCGTTCACCAACCCCGACCCGCATACTGGCCCCCCTTCAGATTATTATCAATCGTCAGACCAACCATTGCCTCGCCTAGGTCGCTCGAGATCTCGGCTAGGATCTTCGGGTTGTTGTAGTGCGTGACGGCTTGGACGATCGCCCGAGCGCGCTTGACGGGGTCGCCCGAGTGGAAGATGCCGGAGCCGACGAAGACGCCGTCGCATCCAAGCTGCATCATCAGTGCCGCGTCGGCTAATGGAGGGTCAGCCGGAAGACGTGGAAGGTGAGTAAACAAGATACACACCTGGCGTAGCGATTCCACCAGCGGCGAAGTTAACACAAGGGAGCCTCTTCAGCCTCGCCGTCTCTTTCAGCAAATGGAACGGTGCGCCAAGCTCCTTTGCAAACGCATATAGCTCCTCCTCGGCCATCGCGCTCGCACGCTTGATGTCGCTCATCACTTGGCGCATGTGGCGCACCGCCTCGACCACGTTGCCCGTCCCGGCTTCTCCTTTCGTGCGGATCATGGCTGCGCCTTCAGAGATACGGCGCAGAGCCTCGCCGAGGTCGCGGCAGCCGCAGACGAAGGGCACTGCGAGGTGTCAGACGCGTAACATGCTGCAGTGGACAGGACGAACCCTTGAAAGCATGCTTGTTGATATGGTGCTGCTCGTCAGCAGGGGTAAGCACCTCCGACTCGTCGATATAATCGATGCCAATAGCTTGCAAGATCTCCCCAAGAATCAGCACTCAGATGCTTCGTGAAGCAGTATACACCTACTTGTGCCTCCACAAAGTGCCCAATCCGGACCTTGGCCATGACGGGAATAGTGACCGCCGCCTGGATGTCCTTAATCATTTTCGGGTCGCTCATCCTCGCCACACCTCCCTGAGCCCTGATATCCGCCGGTACACGCTCGAGCGCCATGACGGCGCATGCACCTGCCTCCTCGGCAATACGTGCCTGCTCAGCCGTGACGACATCCATGATCACGCCTCCCTTGAGCATCTGGGCAAGCCCGGACTTGACACCAAACGTGCCCATGGTGCCGCTCGATGATCCGGCAGCGGCTTTGGCAGAAGCGAGCGCGGCGGAGGGAGTGCCTGCCCCGGAGGGAGGGTGGGGCGTCGCTGTTGGGGTGGACGAGCCGTTGGTGGGCTGGACGAGCGGGGAGGACGTCACTGGGACGAGGTCGGTCGTTGGGGTTGACATGGCCGTTGTACTTGATTTACACTGTTGACCAGGAGGAGGAGAAAGAGTGAAGAGGAGAGGTAATACCAAGGAATGAGTCAGGATGTGTTGCAGCTTTTTATGGCCACAAGACTGATTCGGCGCAAAAGGGATCGGAACATGGGGAGGTGGCAGTGCAAAACATTGACTTCGGACTTGCTCGGGTAAGGGCAGGGTTACTATTGGCCCATATGGATTGCAACAGCGTAGGAAGGATAGACTACGAGAATGTAGCTGGCATAGTGGAGCATAGAACTGTTGGCAGAAATGCTGGATAAATATTACAGTGAATGACACGAAACTTGGATTGAATCAGAAAGAAAAAAGTACACCACGCATTAAGAGAAAACAAGTCACACTCACACCCATTCCATGCGCCAAATCATGTATCTCACCTCGTCCGCCCGTCCTTTCCCCGCCCACCGCTCCGTCTCAATATATCTCGTCACCCCTAGCACCTTCTCCACTTGCCCTCCCGGTTTCTCGCGAAACATCTCCCTGGCCATCGCTGTCTCCACCTCGTGCGTGATGCGTTGCGGCATGATGAGATGGAACTGCCCTCCGGGGGCGAGTAGCGCCCGCACGGTTGCGTAGATCCATGCGCAGTGAGCAGGCTCATAGACGATATCAGCACCGACGATGATGTCGAACTTGTCGTCGAATGGAGGGTCCAGCAGAGGCATCACCCCTTCAGAAGAGGCGAAGACGCTCCAGTCCAGCCTGTCGCAGGCGAGGGTCACCCACGGCGGTTGGGTCGGGAAGTTGCTGAGCAAGTTCGAGCTCAGGTTCGACAGCACCGTGGGGTGGTAATCGCTAGCCACGATCTCGGTCGGCACGTGTGCGGCGTTATGCTCCGTCGACAACGCAGCAAGGAGCAAGCTGAGCACTCCAGTGCCCGCACCAATCTCCAAGATTTGACACGGTTTCTCTGCGCTGTAGCCTTCCCCTAGAGTAGCAGCAGCTGCAGAACAGCCGAAAGGAAACCCGTACTCTGCCGGGGAGCGCGCAAACATCTCAGCGAGGATCGTACTGCTCGCCCAAGTCTGCACGCCCACAGCAGTATGGTCGTCCCCTGCATACGCCTCGTCCCTCGTGCTAAGTTTGATACACCGACCATCGTCGACAGGAAAGGAGTATTCCCTCCTGAGAGTGCCCGCCTCCGACGTCTTGGAACACGCCGCAAGCAGGGCAGCCGCATCCTCCAGCACGCGCTCTTTGTCCTCCTTCACCTTGACCCCTTCTTCCCCCTCACCGCAGCTCTCCGCCCAATCCTCCCCGCGGGAGATGAGCTCAAGAAGCCAGCGCATAGCCCATTCCCGCTCAAAACTATCCGCTCTAAGCCGCTCCCACTCTTCATCCACCTCGCTCTCCCGCGCATCCGAAGTCTTGGCAGGGTTGGGAGCAGAGGAATACCCAGAATCGACGAACTTTGATGGGGCGGACGCGGTAGAGCCTGGGTGGTACAGTTGTGCTAAGGCACGAATGGACAGTGCCAGAAGAGCGGGAGTGTGTTTCTGAAGCTGCTTCAGCGGGGGAAGCGAGCTGGAAGGCGAGGAGAGTGTGAGTGTCGCCGTGGTGGCCATTATGTTACTTGCAGTCGAATTAGTTGCGATGGAGAAGTATGTGTATCGTCTATGCTGGAAATATGTTCTCTAAGTCTATGTCGAACTTCTATGTCTTCTAGTCGCCCGGTAGTCGAGACAGTCGTCTAGGGGCCGTCTATCTTCTATGTTTATCTTCTAGAGTCTATCTTCGATACGATCGAGTCCAAGAAAAACCGAAACTGAAACCGAGTCGCCAACCGTAAGGAGGGCGACAGCTACAATGCACTCATCTTGACAGACTGGGAGTGATGATTCAGAGCAAGCAGCAAGTACGATGGATGAGGAGAGGAGAAGAGAAAGGGGGAGAGTGAAAGAGGTGGAGGAGAGGCAGTTGCCAGCGCCTGATGCGTGGGTAAGGGTGAGGAATTTTTTGGTCGTGTCCCTGAGAGGGCACGTGCGCAGGGAAATCGTGCGATCGCTGGCTGTACATCTTGCCCGATCACACTTTCTGTTCTTGCCTCGTCTGTTGTTGACGAGAACTGTTTGCTTGTCGATTTATCAACACGTATGGATGTTTCTACGATTGTTCTACTCTTTCAGCTCGGGTTGTGAACGGACTGACGACCTCGGCGATGCAAATAAATTAAGCGCTCGTAATCCTGCCCATGTGACTTCCAATACTGTTCTCAGCCATCTTTCCCCTGCGAACTTCTCCCACTCAGAAAGCTCGGACCGCTCTACTCTTAGGAATCTCATCCTCTTCTGCTTCTCTACGGCCGTCTGTGTGCCTTTTGATCAAGAAGCAGCACCGCGTGATGTTCGGTTAAACTGTTGTACATCTACTGAATTCGGGCGATTTCGATTCGGCGTATTGTCATAACGAGTGTGGGGGATATCACCCACCCTTTTCCAGTCAAGTTCAGGATGAGCGCTGTCCCCCAACTTCACGCTCAACATGACGTTCCTGTATTTGCTCCTCGTTTCGTTCCTGCTTGCTACCCAAGGTTTCGCCTATCCCCAGCCGCTCCCCCTCACGGGCCCAGCGCACTTCACCCATGACCCAGCGATTATCTACAACCCTCAGTCAGACTACTATTATGTTTTCTCCACGCATGGTGGGGTTGCCAGGAGCAGAGAGCTGCTTGGACCTTGGACGGCTGTTGGCCAGTACCTGCCTACGGGGTGCTCGATTGTCACGTCCAACGCTGGGCACTGTGATACTTGGGCTCCTGATGTGCATTACTTGAGTGGTGAGCTTTCTATGGATGTACTGTGGGAATCGTTGGAATAATATTGAATGGGAACAGGAATGTACTATCTATACTATGCGATCAGCGGATTCGGCTCGCAGAACAGCACGATAGGCGTCGCAACGAGCCCCACAATGGAGTATGGTATGCAACGATTTCACCCGATCTAATCCAAATCAACATGATGAGGTTTCAGGTTCCTGGACCGATCATGGGACGGTATTCTCCTCTGTCGATGGCGACACGTTCAACGCGATCGACCCCAACCTTATCGTAGACAACGGCACCCTGCTCCTGACATTCGGTTCCTACTGGGCGGACATCTACCAATTCCCGCTCTCTCCCTCCGGTCTTGCCCCACTCACGAATCCACCAAACCTCACCTGGCTGTCGTTCAACTCCACTCCTCCCCAGTCTGAGGAGGGCGCGTTCGTCTACCAACCCCACGGGAGCGGATACTACTACCTGTTCTACTCGAGCGGCACGTGTTGTGGCTTTGTCGCTGGGGATCTGCCAGCTCCGGGGAATGAGTACAAGGTGTTTGTTGGACGGAGTGAGAGCGCGACGGGGCCGTTTGTGGATCAGAACGGGACACCTTTGTTACAGACTGGAGGGACGGAGGTGCTTGCGAGCCACGACAATATCTACGCGCCTGGAGGCACGTCCCTCTTCTGGTATGTTTCTCTTTTGGAGCATGAGAACATGTGCTAATAGACGCGCAGGGATCCAAAGTCCAAGAAAGACGTGATCGCCTATCACTGGCGCCCATTCAACAACATTCAGGGCGACGCGAACTCGATGCTGGGGCTAAACTACGTCGATTTCTCTTCTGTGAGTGGAGCTATCCCATGGAGCGGAATATGACTCACTTCACTGCACAGGGATAACCTGTGCTTGTTGACTAGCTGGCGTCGTAGCAATAACTATCAGAATGATATTCGCAGTAACGGGACTTAGAGCGTGCCTTCTCCCGAGTTCAGAGCCGAGTGTACTCTACACCTCCCAATGAGGCGTCAGGGGTAGGTCCGCTGGAGGGGGAGTCGACTGTAGTGGCCCGTTCCTAAGTAGTGGTAGTCCTGGCTTCCAATGGTGGCCAAATCGACGATTGGCTCCTAAGAGAGAGCTGTCCGAAGCTTGGTTCAAGGGTCCGATGTTCATTCCCAACCCCGAGCAAGAGCGTAGTCACTGTCTCCCCTAGGCGCAAGCAGTCCGACGGGAGTCCGGAGAGGAGGGGTGAAAACGAGGTCTCGGAGTAATACGAACGAGTGTGGCTGGTCACGGATTGAGGATTCGAATCGATGATGGGAACGAGATAAGTAGGGGGTAGAGTAAAGAGTGACTGTAAAGTAGAGGAGTAGTATTAGTTGTAAGTTAGAGATCACTCGAGTTTGAACGAGTGAGAGCAAGCAAGAGAGAAGGAGCGTCAGTCCGAGCGTCCCTATCCGAAGTACCCGAATCCTCCTATCCCTGGGCAACGTAGTTGGCCAGGACCTTGGGGGGGAATTCCCGTTCGAAAAGGACTAATCGGGTAGTTCCTTCCGTGCGTCACGTGTTTCTCCATGCGGCTTCTCTTTGCGTTCTTCCACGTGCTCTCCTTGTCGCTCTCTCTTGTGCTTCCTTACCGGACATATATTTTTCCGCATTGTCCGCTTGCCCTGCCTACCACGGATCGCGTGTTTCGTTCTGGTCCTGTGTCCGACACACTGATTCTCGGAGTTTCGGGGGGCGCTCTCTCTCAGTAACTCATGTCTTTTCCGCTACGTCTTTATCTCGATGGTATTATAATGCGGTTCGCTCGTTCGTTGTCCCTTTACTACCATGCATGCTCACCTTGATACTACAGGCCCTTCTATCGTACTCCAAAATGGGGGTGTTCATGCTATGTCTTTGCTTAACGAGCGATATAGATTCGTGAAGATTCCGCGCACTATTTCGTACGTTGCGCCCGATCCCGTTGGACTCTTCCTGATGGCGCCTGTTTTGCCTGTCATCCATGCGTTCGATTTTTTTCTCTTGCTGACCTGAGAGCAATAGCCTCGTTTCTCGACGCTCCTGCATCTGTGCGCATGGCGAAGAAGGACATTCGACATTCTATTTGTGACCATGTCATCAGCAGCGTCATGCCACACCATGTGCATCTGTGGGTTATTTTGTTGCGTCCGGTGATCCAACCCAAGAGGTGTCCGAAATATCGGTCCGATGGGTGGTGTGCGAGAACTCACTCGGAAAAAAGGGGAGAGATGGGGAAAGTTGGTATAAATGTGGGAGTCAGCCTGTAGCTGAGCTATCGAAAGTTGGTATGCCATAATCGGAGCTCGGTGTCCGTCCAGTCAAGTCATGATAAGTCGAATCTGCTAAGTCAAGTCAAATCTGCCAGTATACAAATAATCAGATCCGTATAAGTCTATCAGAAGAGGGGCAGAATAAGCTAGATACAGGAGTTTCTGGAAACTACTTATACTAGCTACTAAAAACCATACTCTATACTAGTCTGGTCTCCAGATACCTCTCCTAGGCAGGCATTGGCATGCTGAATATCCATGTGGGTTGATCCCCGCACGGAGGAAACCTGCTGTTGTCATGCCAAATATCTGAGTCGTCCCATCACCTGGGGAATCATAGTAGTCACCATGCTGAATATCTGTGGTTGGCCAAGGCTTGTTGCTGGGGTGTGTTGTCTGCATAGTGAGGGTCCATAGTACCCTGCAATGGTCTCTAAGGGCCCAAAAATAGCTGTGGGAATACTGGCCTGACACACCCCACTGGAGGTGGGGTTGTTCATCCCCCCCAAACCTTGAATACTGACTCCCCAAGTCAGTGGGGCCCCGGGTGACATGGGTGCACAGCCAGGAACACGGTGCAGCACTGCCAAATATTGAGTTAAGCAAGAGTGGCATTATCAAGAACCAATCACAAGACTCTCTGCTGTAAGACATCAGGCTGTGTATCAGGGTGCTGGTAAAATGGCGGTGGTGATGTTTACGGTGAAGGACATATCAGTGGGCATTGCTGTGCAGTTGGCGCTAAGGGTGGCTGGTCAGTGCATGAAGGTCCTAAGCAGTGGCTTGCAGCACCACTCAAGTCTGCAAAAGGGACCTGTCCAATTTGTTGCTTCGCGAAGCCCGGTGTGGTGTTTATCTGTGCTGCCTTAGCTGAAACAGTGTTCCAGATATCAGCACTGAGCAGGGCCCATGCACATTTTCATTTTCCGCTGAGGTGCACTCATGCCTATAAATGGGACCAAATTTTGCCTTTCCTGTCCCTGCAGATCTCAACTGAACCCCTGCCTCTGCTTACTTGTATCCCCTTGCTCTGACATGGCCAAGCCTACCACTCACAAGTCCACCATCAAGCCAGAGGATAAACATGCCACCATGCTGAAGACAGCTGCTGTGATCATTGTGCACATGCAGGAAGACGCCAAGGATCCTGGATTTTTGCCCTTGGTGAAATATTCGGACATCATGCTGTTCAGCAATGCAGTCACATTGCTGCTCAACAGCCCCCAGAAGGCCCTCATCTGCGATTTGCCTGAGAAGTGGGTCCAACTTTTCAGCCTTGACCAGCAAGAGGAGCTGGCCACCTTGTCCATGCTGCCCAAGGAGGATGAGGATGAGGATGAGGATGAGAAGGAGTTTAAGGTGATGTTGTCCGGTTTCTCAGTATGTGTTTCCTTTTTCACAAGCCAGTTTCCTTTACTCACCCAAATTATATAGACGTCCTTGGTGAGCCTGGCCAGCCCTCTGGTGAAGCCAAAGAAGGGCAAGGCAAAGGCGAAGGAGACAACGCCCACCAAACTGGTCATGCCGCACCTTGATGATGGCATGGATAAGATGCCGCCTGTGATCAGGGTGCATGGAAGGCCAACAAAGGAGGATTCCCGCAATGTGGTAAGTTGGCCTTTTTCCTCTTTGCACTTTGAAGATGCTGACTGAAATATTGCAGGGGTGGATGCCGGAAGAGATGCTGGTAAAGGTGTTGCTGGCTATGATGGATGCCGCAGTGTTGGAGTCATTTGCAGCTGAAAACTGCATGAGTCATCCCCGCTTTTTGTACTCTGCTTAACTTTGCTGACACATTTTTGGCAGTGTACATTGTGCCGCAAGCACACCATTGTCAAGGATGGTAAGGCGCACCACAAGTGCAATATTGCAGAGGTGCCTGAGAGGGTGGTTTGCTCAATGTGCAAGGCAGTGAAAAAGCCTTGCAGCATGCATACAGGTTCACCGCTTTTTCTCCTGCTTTTTATTGACCTTTACTGACTCCCATTCAGCGCATCTTGCCAAGGCCATGGCTCCGCCTCCAGCATCTGTGGAGGATCTTTTCATCCTGGAGACTCCTGAGCCAGAGCCTGTTGAAGAAGCCACTGAGAAGCCCACTGAGAAGAAGAAGCATAAGCTGGTGCACAGCTATGTGCCAGTGAAGCCCAAAAAATGCAAGCAGGAGGACAACAAGGACTTGCCTGGGTTGTCAACAAAGCAGTCCCACCTTCTGGAGGCTGGTAAGTCTTTTCCATCTGTAGTTGATATTTGGGCAATGCTAACTGAAGTTGTAGAGATCAAGCTGCCAGTTATGCTGCTCTGTATGGCAGAGCACAAGATTCTGGAGCTCCAGAAGAGCCTGCAGACAGCGCAAAAAGTGGTGGATGCAGTGCAGAAAGCAGTGAACACCACAATGGGCTGGGCAGATCAAGTTCAGACTCTCATGGGGAGGGCTCTGACTGAGTAAATCAGGGTCTTTCTCTTTTTGTTGTCTTTTCTTTTCTCTGTGTCATATTTCCATCTCATAGTCATAATCATAGCATAGTCATGTCTTTGTGTGCTTGTAGATCCAAATTTCGCTTTAAGCGAAATTCATGGTAATACATCTTGTTGGCCCATTATTTGTTGTAGAGTGCTTCAAGTCGGACTTCAATGTTTTCACATGGGTAATTTGGATCTCATGTGGGTCATAAGAAATTTGCAGGTATTCTGATAAGGACTGTTTTGTTGCCATACTACTGAGTCTACCTGTGGACTTAGTAGATGTATCTCGGGGAAACAAAAGAAAACAAGGGACGAGGTTGGGAGGTATGTGCACACCCTGTTTCAATGAGCTGGTGGGTATAAGTCCTGCACCATTTATTTGGGGTTGGGTTCTGTGGTATTCAACAAGATGTCTTTTATGGTCTGCAGGATTTTGGCAGATGTCTGCTGCAATATGTTGGGTAGGGTGGGGGTATGTTCAGATCACTGGTGGTATGGGTAGACTCTGAACTGGGCAATCCAGGCCTTGAGGATGGCACCATCCAAATCGGCAATCACATAACTGCCTCTAGCAGTCTGTGTGACCACAACCATAGGTCCAAGGCTTTGATTTTCAGTCCAGTTCTTTCTCTATCTGAGTATTGCAAATGAGGACTGGGGTGCCAGGTGAGAAGTCATAGTCGGCAAAGATGTGCTCATGGTCTGCCTTAAATCGGTCCACAGTTCTTAGGCAGGCTTGGTGAACCTTTTCCTGGAGGTCAGATAAATCAGACTTGCAATGCTTGAGCTGTCAAATTTGGTAGGCCAGCTTGTCACTGTTGGTCATCAGGAATTCAGGTGGGGGCATGAGGAATGTGGCTTGCTCAAAGTCCATGGGGAAGACTGGGTGGACACTGTGTGCAATGAAATACGGCAACAGACCGGTGCTGTGCTGGACCAAAATTTGCTCAGCCCAGAATGTGGTTGGCGCTTTGTCAGGCCATTGCTTGATATTATCTCTGCATGCTTTCAAAATCGCTTGATAGACCATAAAATGTTTCAATTCTACTGCACCATTTGCGTGAGAGTTGTACAGCAAAATTCAGATGTGCCAGATGCCAAAGCATCGTGCCAGTTCCTTGACAGCAGCTACCCAGGCTGATCCATTGTTGGTAACAATCTCTGCAATATTTCCCCAGCAGCAGATAATGTTGTGGAAGAGGAATGATGCAAGGGCCATTGCAGTTTCCGATTTCAAGGGATGCCATTCAGGATACGAGGACAGGGAGCAGCAGATTTGAGCAATGCAAGTGTATCCTTTTATGGGAGGCATCTTCATGGTATTGCAGTAGATCTTGGAGAAAAGTGGAGCCAGATAATCGACTGTTGGAGGTTTGAGGACCTTCCAAATGCTATGGACTTGACATGCATGGAAGGTGCAAAGGTACCATTTGATATTTGCATGGAGGTCTGGCCACCAAAATCAGAGATGGAGAATACCAGCAACAGTCTTGAAACCTTTATGACCACTGTCATCATGGGCTTGCTTGAGCAGGGCGAGACGGTCAGTGGGGGGAATGTATATTTGGGGGGAGCCAGTGAGATTATGTTGACACAATTTGCCATTGTGAAGGAAATACTGAAGGTACTGTTTGACAAGGGCTGCATGCTGCTGCATATTCCAGTCTGGAGGGAGCGACAAACTGGTAAGGTATTGGTGGATAAATGCAATTTGGTTGTCAAGGTGTTGGGCAGAGGAGGTCATGGGTATCTCTATTTTGGGCTCGGAGTCCTCAACTGCAGATTGGAGGTATGCAGGGTACAAGAGTCCCAGGCATTGTTCATGGTCAATGTCCGGTGGGTTTGGAGTGTCCAATGAATTTGGGGGACAGCAGGAGAGACCATCAGGACTGGTGTGTTTTTTGGCAGGAATGTGTACAAGATCAAAGTCAAATTGGTGGATACCACTGGCCCAATGGTTGAGGGCTGTGGCAGGCTGTTGGTCCGGATTGTTTAACATCCCTTTGATGCAGGACACATCCACTTCAATGATAAATTGGGGTGTGCCAATGAGGAAAACCTGCAGTGCCCAGAGAGCACAATATAAGCCGTATAGTTTGAGTTTGGGCTGAGAATATCAGGATTTGACATCATTCCATGCCAGGGATCCAAAGCAAGCTGGTTTCCATTTGCCATTGATGTTGTTTTGGTATAAGACGTAACCAACACCAATATTTGAGGAATTCACTGCAAGGATAATCTTTTGGCCACTTTCATAGTCAATGGGACAGAGGAGACCATCCTGACAGGTGTCTGCTTTTAGCTGGTCAAAGACTGCTTGGTGTTTGGGGCCCCATGCAAATATTGTACCTTTGTGCTTGAGATGTTCCAAAGGGCAGGCTTTCATTGCAAAATCCTTGATGAATATTTGGAGGATTCTGAGAGTACCCAGGAATGCTCAAACTTCTGTGAGGGATTTGCACAGCTGCCAGTCCCATATTTTAGCAACTTTCAAACGCTCACGTTGTCAGCCTGTGTAGGTACAATGTTGGCCGAAGATGACAACTTCAGGAGCTGCTATAACCATTTTTGGACCACTGAATGTGCTGCCAGAATGTTCAATGCAGGTCAGGACCCAATTTACAGTTTCCATGTGTTCCCATATGAAACAACAGATGCCTTTATTTTGGGAGTGCCATTCAAAATCACTGTCAGGGAGTTTGTATCGTGTTGGTGGGCCACAGATGGGGACATCATTGATGAAGGGAATGGTATATTTGGGGATCTCATTGCGGAGGAGGAAGGTAATGTCTTCATGTATAATCTGGATGCCATTTGTTCTGCCCCTCTGATTTCAGGTGCTGCAAAGGGAACCCTTGAGTGACTGGAAAGTGGTGAGGTCCTGACTTTCTGGGTGTAAGAGATGTTGTTCAAAGCCCCAAAATAAATCGAAGAGGGTGTAGACAGATTGTCCGCCATAAGATTCGATGAGGGGTTCAGAAAGCGGAGGGAGCACTGAGTCCTGAATTGTTATGCTGTTCAATGGTTGCAGGTCCAGAACAGGGCAAAGGGATCCGTCTTTTTTCAGGATGCAAAACCAATGGGAGCAGTAGGAGGACTGGGAGGGTTTGTAGATCCCCACATTTAGCTTGTCCTGCAAGGCCTTGAGGACCTTTGGTAATAAAGCAGGGGGCACCGGAATATTCTTTTGTTGCCAGGGTATATGTTCTATCATCAGAATTTGCACCAGGTTCAACTAGTCACTGCAGAATAAACCCATTTCTTGTTTGTTCCAAGCGAACACTCTTTTGTGGGTATGAAGGACCCATGCAACGAGTTTCTCCTCTTCAGGCCAGAGGAATCCATATTTGTTTATCTGGAGTTCCTCAAATCTTTCCAAAGTGAGCCAATTTCCAGGAATAAACGTTGGAGGGGTATCAGGGAGTGGGGGAAGCATAGCAAGAGGGTGGGAGGGAAAGCATCTCCATATTTTTACACTTTGCAGTGTTGTCGTCAAGACAGGCTTCATGTATCTGTCTGCGGGTTTGTATTTTCGGGCTGCATATACAGGATGGGTATCATTGGGTATGGTATCCAAATCCAGTGTGTCTATCTGAGAGCCATTGTTCAAGATCAAGTGCTGATTAATTGAGGTTTCCATTCCATCTTCTGTTTGCTGGGGAAGATGGTCCCAAATTAAAAATCCTGGACCATGCATTTTCTTCCCATTTGGTGTGATTGGGTCCACAAGTTGATTGTCTGGTGGGAATTCAGACACGTTATCTGTATCTTCTGTTTTCTGTCCATATAATCCTGGGTGATGCAAGAGGCAAGGATGTGGAAGGGGCGGCCGAGGAGCAGGTGGAAAGGCAGGTTTGGGAGGACAAATGCCTGGATGTAGAAGTTGAGACTGGATGTACCAATGTGCAAATTTGGAACATGTCCGAGAAGCTGATTGACTGAACTGTTTTCAGATTTCATTTGCTATCCATTCACTGGGGTGTATGCAAGTCCGATTTGCTCACAACACTTTTTGCTGATGCCAACAATACCAGAGCTGCCATCAAGGATACAGGGTATGGGAGTGTCATAGTTGCCGATTAAACAGTCGATCTGCCGGAGGGGGACCATGTCTTTGCCAACCAATAACCTGTCCATGTCTTCCAAAATGCCTTTGATCTGGTATATTGGAGCCTTGCCATCTTGAATCTTGGTCACCTGAATGACATCTGGAATAATTGGTTTCTTGCCATAAGCTTCCTTCAGCACCTTGTTAAACAGAGGACATGCTGATGCCAGGACCTTGCTGGAAACTTGAACCCAGGTTTCGGGGAGAGTAACCACTAGTGCCTGCAAAACTGTCTCATCTTCCGCATTTTTGGGCCATTTGGCATGGGGTTTTGGCGGGTCTGGTATAGCATCCAGTTTCTCCAGTTCATCCACTCCTATGCTGGCAACGTGTGTGGTGCTGTGATGTACATGCGCTTCCGATTTCTCCTTTCTGGCTGCTGGTGTGTAGACTTTGGAGACCTTGACAAATTTTCCTGTGGATGCCACATGCCTTTTCCTGAGTTGATCTGCTTTGGCCATTAATACCTTAATCTCCTCATCATTCCATTCAACTGTATTGTCATGTTTTTCGGTGAGGATATGCAGCACCAAGTGATCCACTGTGACTTCAAATTTGGAGTCCAAGCCAATATCTTCAATGATCATGTTGTGAAAGGCAATGAGAGGGGTTGCTTGCAATTTCGGACGATGTTCTGGGTGGTCCTTGTAGTAGTTGTTGACTTTTTCCTTGAGGTCCCAACCAGGCCAGTGATGTGGGATAAATTGGCTGCCAGCAAGGACATGATATGTACTGTCTTTCTCAAGGAGTCCTTTGTCCACATATTTCTGGGCACCTGGGCATGTTGCAATCTTGTCCGTGCAACCAGTAGATACACCATTGAAGTGGCAGAGCACAGATTCTGTATTCCAGGGGCTGTATCCATTTTGTTTTGGGTAGTTCTCTGCTGGGACAGGAACCCAATTTGCACCAGTAGCTGATGTGTTGTTGCTGTATGTATTTTGGGAGGGTTGTCCGTAGGAGTTCTGCTGAGCAGCCAGTTGGTTCTGCATTGCAGGTTGCCGGTTCATAAGCATGTAGATCTGGGAAACCATTCCTTCGAGGTTAGCCATGCATCCAGTAATATTGGCGACCTGTGGGTTGCTTTCCGTTTGACATCTACAGGTGCCGGTGCTGGTGATGCCTCCTGCAAATAATTGGGGGATGGTGGCTGAACCTTTGTCATAGTGTTACCCAGTGCCCATTCTGCTGTCTCCTTTAATTTGGCCATTGTCCATGGTTTGTCTACAGCCCTGTCATACTTCCTTTCAAGCTGGTTTACCATCTTGTTCCAAAGTCAGCTTTTGGTGGGCGGGAATTCAAGTACACAGAGGAGGGACTTCTGTTGGTTGGGAATGAAAATCTGGTTGTACTTGATGAGCCATGTAGAAATCAAGTAGAAGTCCCTGTAGAATTTGGTGAATTCACCCTTGGTCTTAATGTGGTGTTGCCACTTGTGAATGAGGTTGTGAAGGTCCTGAGTTGCATACCAGTGTTTGTTATTTGCTGTGCCAGGGTAGTACTTCAGTATTTTGGTCTTGAAATTGTCATATGAGTTCTTGTCCACATTGTCCATGCTGTTGTGGATCTGTGCCCATGATTTGTAGGTATTGTTATCAGTGTAGAAGCAGGCCCAGTTGATCTTGTCTGCTCCACCAGTAACAGCAGGTTTGCACAGGCCAAATAGTTTTTCCAGAGCTGCAAAATAACAGGTGATGCCGAGAGGTGTAGGAGAAAAACAGGGAGCCGAAGGAGACTCCCTGCCCATGGGCATTGTGCGTTTGCTTGCCATGAGGAGTCATCAGACTGCATCCACTATATTGGTGTTACTCCGGGTGGAAGTGGTTGATGATACCTCTGTATCATCCAAAATCATGGGTGTTTCTCAGAGTGCAGTATGTCGGGCTTGCCGTTCATCCCTAAGCTCATTCTGTTGGTCTATAGTTCTGTTGGTCTATAGTGGAGGTGGGTGTTGGAGTATGGGAAGCCAGTTTCAGATAATGAGAACATATGCACTGTGGAACTGGATGGCTTCAATGAACCACTGCTGTCCCACTTAAAGGAAATGTGAAAATATGTCAACCATGCACAAGGATATTTCTATGTAACCTTGCTCCCGGACACTCTGCACTTTGGCTTCAATCAAGCCTTCGACATGTCCAATTTTCTTGTATGGCACAACAATTTCCCAATTTATGTATGGCTTTTGGGCTGTATCACTGCATTCAAGTTCAGTAATGCTGATGGCACATGGCTGGATCAGGTATATCTCAGCATCCACCCAATTGTGAAGGAGGACTCAAAGGTGGCAACACATATTGCACAGACTTATTCTCAGCCAAAACAGTGTATGCAAATCACTTGTTTCACTATGTGCATATATCTAATGGTTATTGCAGCATCTGAACTTAATCCATGGGGTAGTGTGATCATGAACCAGTTCCAAAAATCATGGAACTCCTGTTAGGGCAACACAGGCTGACTAAGTCTGCTCACCTAAGAGTGCCAAGAGTCTA